CTAGTTCTAAACAGTATCTTCCCCCCCCCCCCCACAAAATTTCCTGGAAGCCTGCAGTTCTGGACTTCTGAAGAAGCCAAAGGGGTTAGATTAGTTCTGACTAATCTTCCCTAATCAGCATTGCTCCTGCATTGAAACCACTGTTTACGTTCTTTTGTTCTTAAAGAGGCCTAGTAGTTTTGTCTATACCATTAGGTTAAAGGCTTCATTCAAAAATTATGTCTCCTGAGAACAAAATATACAGAAGTAGTTTAAGAAGTCAGCAAGGAATGTGTGTCTATCTACAAAATTGAAATAAAATCTGGGAGAGAAAAAAAAGGGAGCACAAGAACAGATGAAATCTGAAGAAAACAAAGCTGTAATAATGGAAATGAGCATGCTACCAAGAAGAGAAACAAAAATAGAAAAGAACAAAACCCCCTTGGGGGAAGTGCATATAGGGGGAGAACTAGGAAAAGTAGAGGGAAGAAATGAATGAGTATAATTATGAAGACGAGAGGGACTTGGGAACATCATAGAAAAAAGTAAAGAAAATAAACCAGAAAAGCAAAATAAATAAGACATGAGGATTTTTCCCCTCTCATTCTTCAGTGTATTTTGAGTCTAGCCGGGGAATCCTATACACAAGTTTTCAACCTTTCTTGAGTAAAGTTGGTTAATTAGTGGTGAATTATGAGCACTTCTCTTAACTATTAATGTAAAATAATGTTTGTTTTAGGGAAGGAGGGGGATACCGATCATAGTCATCTGACAGTGGACAAACCTGTGGAGTTAAATCCATGGCAGCTGTAGAAGAGGTTGGTTGCTAACCTTCTTAGCTCTATTATGAGTGCAGTACAAATATTTTGGTTTTCCAGTCTGGCAACACCAATTATCACCAGAGCAGAGTCCTCCATGTTCCACTATAGCATGTGCAAGTATTGAGAGGAGTAGTAAAAAGAACCTTCTCAGGGTGGAAGAATATTTTCATCTACTTCCACCCTCCTACCACTATATTAGACTTTAAAAAAAAGAAAGAAAAAAAAGAAGATGTTTGTCCCATTCACCTTCTTCCCCAAAGTCACACTGCATACAGCCTCACCTGAAACACACTTCAGCTCCCTCTAAAGGATGAACAGAAGGAAGCATTCATGAAACCAACCTCTTGAAAACAGGGACTGTATCTTTGCCAATCTGTGCCATCCACAATCTGGATTTCATATGTTATAGCTCAACCACCAGGCTGACCCGAAGCCTGACACTTCCTGAACATATTTAGCACATTGTACATTTTTGCAAGGAAACACACACACTGAATTAATGAGTACAGACTACGCAGGGAAGAACTGGGCCCTGATATTGGCAATGTAAATCTCTATTCACTAAGGTCTCTCTTTAGCATTGGATTAGGGTAGGTAACAAAATGAGAACAGATACATGAGCAATATTTTAATTAAGCCAGACATCTAGATAGGAGAATTGATGTTTTGTGTGCATGTTTTTAAGGGCATACAGATGCTATTGTTTTGAGTGCTGTAGAAAGACTTAAGAAATTTAGATGCAGACCCCCACTCGCAGCTGAAGTCTACAATCCAGAACATCTAATCTGCAAGTAGAAATGAATATACATTATAAAAATAAATTGTACCCATATAAAATACCATATAATGTTTTATAATAAAGTCTTTTAGAAGACAGTCTCTATGCAAGATAGATACTACATTAAGTTGCACTGCCGGGGATAAGACAAAGAGATGAATCTTAAAACAGTTGGGTACAAAATTCCTTTCAAACCAGAGATACTATGGTAAAAATGCACAAGTAATGTTCATTAGAAAAGGCACAGAAAACAATAGCAGTGAGTGTCATCCAAAGTACTCAAAGTGCTGTACTTCCAAGAACAGTTAAAAAACCTAGCATGCAAAAGGAATGCTTAATGCTAAAAATCGAACATTTTTTAAAGTAATGTCTGAATTAATAATTTTAAATATAAATCCAAAGGACAAAAGCACAATTTTGGGAAGGGCAAGTATTAATTCAAACCTACAGAAGCAAATCATTTCCAAGAGAATGACTACAGAGGAATAATCAGTTGGTGCGTCTGAGATAGGAAAGGCATTCTAACAGCAGAGTTCCCACAGCCTCACATGTACATATGAATCTCTTTAATGGCACAAATCTTTTGATTGGAATATGAATGTTTTCCAGGGCTTCCATTTTACATCATTAGTGTATGAATCTACTAATCCCATTCTGACCTGCTTATTAAGTGTAGAATATTCAGTATGTTTAATCATAAAACAGATTTAGTACTCAGTGCCACAAATACTTGATTCTCAAGTATGATTTACCAAGTTAATAAAAGCTTGAGGAAGAGATCTAGTGCTGCAAAAAGTCATCCTCAATACTTACTTTCTGAGAATTTCCAACAGTTACGCAATGCACAAATAAAAAAAGGAGAGCACACTGGAACTGAGCCGGGGAAGCTATTATATTGATTTTGTGAGCTTAATCACGAGACCCTAAGCATCCAAAGTCATCATTTGCTCTAAAAACGTAACAGAAAACAGCTAGCTGGCTAACCTGGGGGGATACGCAATTTTGATTTCCATCTTGGTCACTGGCTCCTCAGAACAACACGAGCTGCTGTAGAGGAGGTTATAAGTTTGCCATTGACCTGAAAGGCAGCAGAATCAGATCCAGATGTGTGGCGGGGTGGGAAAAATAAGTGAAGCGGGTTCCTTTTGTTGCTCAACAGTAACTCCTTTGGACAAGTAAGGAGCATCCTTGATGGATTCTGAAGGGAATCCCTTTTGGTCGTCTTATCACTGCTAACAGTGTCATAATTATGCAACAAGCTTTGGCTAGAAAGATTCCGCAAGCAATTTACAAACTCACCCACAACTGGAATGGAGCATTTTCTAGAGTAGAATGCAGCATTCATTCTGCACTAGCAATTTGATTGTGACACTGGGATAAATATTCCTACTTTTGTGATCAGTGTAATTAAAAATCACCTAGTAAGTAGTCAAGGAGTTGGCCTTTCATCTAAGCTAAATGAGACATCCAGAACCCTACCACAATGTCAAGGCAGAGGTTTAGTACCTGCCTCTGAGAAAAGAATTAATTATATTTAACAGTTACATAGGCTTTTTCCTCTTCCAAGCACTTTATAAAAGTGAAATAATCTTCACAAGAGCCCTGAAAGGTAAGTAAGCATTATCCCCCCCCAACAGGGAAACTAAGGTATAGAGGTCGTTTCTATCCATGGAAATCTTTGTTTAGTAAAAGGCAAAAGATTTATATGGTCTCAAAAGAAACCAGTGACTTATCTAAGGCAGCAGCAGGAGTCCAGTGTCAAATCTAGGATTATGAATTCAGGAATTGCTGACTCCTTATCCTATGTTTAGACTATTAGACCAGGGGTTCTCAACCTTTTTCTTTCTGAGGCCCACCCAACATGCTATAAAATCTCCACGGCCCACCTGTACCACAACAACAGTTTTTTGGCATATAAAAGCCAGGGCTGGCATTAGGGGGTAGCAAGCAGGGCAATTGCCTGGGGCCCCATGCCACTGGAGGCCCTGCAAAGTTATATTGCTCAGCCTTTGGCTTCAGCCCCATGCGGCGTGGCTCCAGCTTTCTGCCTTGGGCCCAAGTGAGTCTAACGCTGGCCCTGCGTGGCGGATCTCCTGAAACCTGTTCGTGGCCTCCCAAGGTGGCCCCGGACCACCAGTTGAGAACCACTGTATTAGACTACAGTATCATTGCCTCTCTGGCAGAGGTACATGATCCTCAATTCCTGTCCTCCAAGGAGATCCAGTGTCCTCAGCACTCACACCATTGGGCCATGAGGCAGCACTACTTTCTAGATCAGTGTGGGTTTTCTTTGGAGGTCGCCATCAGCCTACAAGCTTTGGGAGTTAACAGACAGATAATACGACTGCAGTTCTTCACTAGACACATGGTGACTTAAAACTAGTGGGGTGGGGCTAATATGAAGATCTTTGGGGTTCCAAAAAGTATGCAGAGGAACACCATAGGTGAGAATGGAACATCAAGTAATCTTTGTAATGTATTATCCCACTTGTCTATTACAGAAACAAAAGTGGGGGGAAATGTAGTCTGCTGAATGACCTATATAACTGCTTGCTCCAAATCTCCTTTAATACTTACAGAATTTGATTTCCACTTAAGAAATCTGTATTCAAATACTGTAAAACAAATTATATTTGAGGAGTACATTCGGTTTATTAAATTGACATTCAGCCTACCTAAGGCCAGCCTGATGGATTAACTGGCAATATCACAGGAGCCCACAGAAACTTTGCACTGTGATTTTAGAGAAGAAGGAAACCTGCTATTTTAAGTTCAGAAATAAGGTGCCATTACTATGTTCAGCTTCCTGCTGTCTCACCCCTGTTCCCAGCCCTTAAGTGACCAAGATACGGAGCTCAGCCCAGTAACAACACACCCTGTAAACACCCCGCTAGTCCAGCACGGAGCAAGCCCCTGCCTGTCTATTTCATGGACCTGTCTCTGGTTTTACACTCCTCGTGGCCACAGCTGTGCTCTTTACCCCGTGGCTGGGTGGAGACACCCTCCCCTTCCCTTCAGAGCACACACAGCCCTTGCAAAAGCAATCTGCACCCTGAGCCTCCTCGGCCGTCAGGGGAGACGACAGAGCTACTGAGGAAGTTGCATGAAGTCGTCTTCCTCCTCCTCCTCCTCCTGCCCGTCCGACACAGAGGGAGGAGGGAAGCAAGGGGCCGGCCTTGGAGGAAAAGGGACAGTGCGACGGGGGAGAGGATGCAAAACAGGGAGCCGCACAGAAGCCACGGAGGGGGGAAGGGGAAGGGGGATGGGAAGAGGAGCAGCGGACTGGTTTCGGCATCATGGCCCCGTCCCTCCTGCCTGGTGCTGCAGAGCAATGCCAGAGAGGGCGGGGGCAGAGGCAGACGCGTAATAAGGCGATAAGTTTGGGGGACAGCTGCCGCGGGAGGAGGGAGAAGGTGACTTACCCATGTTCCGGCCAGGAGGAGAGCAGCTCTCTGGGTGCTGCTCAGGGAAGCTGCCTGCGCCTCTGTCCAGCGGCCGGGGAGGGAGCAGCGGGGACCTGGGGCGGTGCGGCTGCAGCAGCCGGCGGCCAGGGCTGGGCGGGGGGGAGGCGGAGGCAGGCAGCAGGGGCAGCCCTGGAGCAAGTGCCCGTCCCTGGCGCCTCGGGGTGCGCGCGGCGGCGGCAGGGGAGGGGGCTACGCGCGTTCCAGGGCCCGGCCAGCCCCGCCGCTGCTGTCGGGGAGGGGAGGCGGAGAGCGAAGCGGGAGCTGGGCTCGGTGTGTGTGTCTCGCTGCCTGCCGCTGCTGTGTCGACTGGATTATGAGTCAGTGTATAGTACATCCGGGCAAGGCCCTCCTCTGGAGACACCCGGCCCAGCGACACCCAGAGACCCGGGAGGAGGAGCTGCGGAGGCAGCAGCACCCGCGCAGATACACAGTAGCAGCGCTAGAGAGGTTGCAGAAAAGTAGCTGCTTATCCGGGGTTCCTCCCGCCCCGTGAGCTCCCGGGCTGGCAGTGCAGCGGGGACGATCGGGTTTCACTCCGTGCCCGTGCGGTTTCAGTCTGCGCCTGCTGCTGTTTATTACGAATACCTGGCTAGGAATCCATAGAGGGCTTTGCAGACAAACTCAGCTCTTCCTGTCCAGAGATCGATACGGTGCCAGGAGTTTTACAGACCAGCCCAGGTCCTGTGAGGAGCTCCTCACCCATAGCCTCAGCCATGGAGCGGATTTAGAGCAGTTGTCATTTTGTATCAATTATTATTATTATTGAGTATTTATTATTATTGTCTTATTGTTTGAAAATCATATTAACAGATATGTTAAGGCAGCCAGAGAACATGAGGGGAGGAGATTTACATACAACATTTGATTATGCTATCCTATATGTCATCCTATAACCTTTAGCGCTTGTATTGTAGGATGAAGAACAGGAGTACTTGTGGCACCTTAGAGACTAACAAATTATTGTAGGATGTAGATAGGCAGAGCCATGAAGGCCCATCTAGCCAGGTAATTAACTCTGTTTTAGAAAGATCTATAAAATGGGTTCATATTCTATCCTTGTAGACAGAGCCTGGCTGAAAAATATTCAAGACTATCATTTTTTTTTAAAGTTCTCCCTCACCCTTCCCCACAGGAACCAGCCCTGGCTAGCACAACCACGTTACTGGGGTTTTACAGGTTTTAAGACTATTTTGTAAAAATGGCTTCAGGACAATGGCTAGTTTTCCACTGTAGACAAGGCCCCAGTTGGAACCCAACCTAGTAAATACTGTATGTCTAAAGTGATTTTAACACATCTTGGTCTATGCTGACAAGGAAAAGCATGTTCAACCCATGCTGTCTGATCCCATGTTTCATTTTTTAAATCGATTACAGAAGAATAAATTACTGATCTTTTAAAAAAATCTTTAAAAAAAAAGATTTCCAGCTATAAGAATGACACTCGCAACACTTCCACCCCTTTGACTCCTAAACCTCCGCTACCCAAAACATAAAAAAGAGGAAATTAATCATTTTTCAAAAAAATCAAAACAAAAACTACCCCAAGCAGACCCTGAAAAAGGAGATGATTCAGAGACATCATGAAGTCTACTAGGGACTTCACTGTTGCTATTGATTTTAAATGGAAGGCACTCACATATTACTGTGATGGGTGGCAGTATAAAACCTTAATATAGATAGAATATCCAAGGTGTGAATGACACTTCACAGATATAAGGTTTTAACAAGGTCTCCACCAAGGGAGTTTGCAATCTAATTTGTACAGATAACACAAATAAAGACAGTGACTGTTTTTTTTTTTATTTGTTTGTTTTTAATGTTTAGAGAAAATTGACCTCTTGATGGTTTTGTATTTGTTTGGGGGGGGGGGTGTTTTTGTTTTTAATGTTTGTAGTAAGTTGACCTCTTCATAATGTTTTTTTCCTGCTTTAGAAATACAGATCCAAATTTTCTTATCAGTTAAAATGGTACAATCCTGACTCAGTAGGGTTGCACCATTGTAGCTGAAAGGAGAGTTTAAACTACAGTATAATGATGTGACTTAGCTTTTTTTTCACTGGAGGACAGAACAATCTTTGGAGGACAGAATATGACCTCACTGCCTGAGGTGGCTGAAAGCTGAGAAACAACTCTCTCATTTTAAGATCCAGTACTCCATTCCCTTTTATTAGGAGCTGGGAGAGCTGTAGCTCAGGTTGTAATCTGCATAAAGTCACATTCCAGGTCCTCCAAAGACTGCCAGAGTCTTCTAAGAAAAAGAGGCAAGTAAGAATGGAGTTAATGTAACAAAAAAGCCAAAATCTGCCTCCCAAAAAACGTTTATTCGGCTGTCTTCATACCTTATAAAGGAAAACAAACTACATTATTTTGTGTTTTGGATTTTGACTTTAAAATGTCAACAAGGAGTGGTGGGACAATTAAGAGTATGCATTGTCGCATAGCACTCATATCTTGCACAAATATGAACTTGTTTTGCTATGGCTGAGGCTGGGAGCTGTTCTCTCATGATGAGATTTGCTGTCATAAAGAAGAGGAAGTGAAGACTAGAAATACATGTATCCAGAATAGGAGCAGCAGATGAAACTGGGAATCTTTAAGTACTTTTTCTTTTGTCTATTAGCAGCTGCTGCAAAAGCATTGACAGTGGTAAAGGTTTATCCCAAAAACCACATTGTGTGTCAAATTGGATTTGAACAAAACTATGACAAAGGTAGATGGAGTGATTTTGAACAGGAAGCAAGAACTTGATTTTGTCTCATTGCCTTTAATAGAAACAATTTATAAATAAAGATGCCTTTCACTAAAAGAGAAACATTTGTGTTTGGTTTGGGGGTGCCGGGGGATGAAAAGAAGATGAAGTATCAGATTGGATTTTTAGGTGAACTTTGTGGTCAAAAGAATCAATGTCCCTTTCTAAAATGGAAGAAAGGCAAAACATCTGACAAATTCCTCTCAAATAGATAAAACCATATGCTTTGCTGAATCTGAACCATAAATATTAGAACTGAAATTTAAATGCTTCTAAACAAAAAGACATGTATGGAACATAGCATCTTCTCATGAGAGACTCTGTATGTGTGAAGCATTATTGGATTGAGGTTGTTTTTCTCCCAGAACATTTGGTCTCCGTAGAACTGGATATGGGATGATAGAAAAATATTTACTCATAAGGACTTCATATTATATTTGTCTGCAGTTTTTCTTCTGGGACCATTATTTTTGTAAAATTAGCAGGATGAGCTTCATGGAGTACTTTATTTTTTTTCCCAGTTCTTCCACATTAATATGTACCTTTGCCTGAATAATTGCCTAAGAATAGTAAAACCGAATATGAATAATTGGTGCTTTGCAGGGCAAGTTCTGCTTATCTTAGTTGTATGTGTAGTTCAATTGAAATCAGTGAGACAACTCATATGAATAAGGCAAGAAAAAAAAATAGGACCAGCAACCTCACATTACAACAGCAACTACAAATCCACCCCTAGGCAATACCAGTAGCCGTTCTATCCAGCACCCATCTCACCCTCCTGATTGTTCCTTCTTATTAACAAATTATGTACACTTTTATGATTACAGAGGTTTGTGGGATAAATCAAGGAACAATTTGTCAGCCATTTTGTGGAATACAGACCAAAAGAGTTTGAATCGTTGATTTAAATCATTGTAACCTTATGACTCACTAGAATGGACCTGCTCCCATTGAAGTGAATGGAGTTTTGCCATTGACTTCACTGGGAATAGATACAGGTCCAATGTGTATACCCATTTGTGTTTGTGTTCATGTATGTATGTATTTACATGGTCAGCTAATATGGAAAACTAATACATTAATCTTTTTTAGTAAAGTGTTGGAAAAAATAATTTTAAAAGTTGCACGTGAGCTACATGGTTTTGTAATTATTTTTTCCTAGTGTTTTAAAACTGCAGATTGTTTAAATAGAAACCTGATTCCTTTTTTTAATCTGAAGTTTGCATAATTTGATAGTTAATGTAACATAGAGAGTCTGAAATGATCCTAGAAGCAAAAGGTTCCTGTATCTCTCTGCCCCATGAACTCTTCATCAATTTTCAGATCTCATCTAAAAATATATCTTTCCTCCCTGGTCTTTGTTTCTTAGTTTCTTTATCCTTCAGCAATATTTCTTTTTACTTGAACTTTGTAACTATGTCCCAAATGTTTCTTTCAACTTGTTTGGGAAACAAGAGACCGTGGAAGCCTCTCTTCACTAATCTAGATCTGTAGGATGGGGGGAAGGTGCTGGCAGGGTTTGGCAGATGCCCTTCTTCACAATTTTGTCCCATTTCCAAATGCATGGCATAAACCAGAGATAAATAAACCAGCTGACTAAGACCCTGATCCTGGTAAGACCTACACATGTACCTAACTAGACTAGACCTAAATGAGCCTACTTGCACTTTTAAAGTTAAACACGTATGTAAGTCTTTGCAGGATCAGGGCATTATTTGGTATAGGTGCCTCCTTATATTGTGAGTCCTTCCATGAGGGGTTTCTGTGAGCAGTGTCTCCTGAGAGAGTCCAGCTTCCAAGGAGCTGCGAAGAGGGAACTGGAGGCACAGAAGCTCCTTGCAGATGGTGCTGTTCTCTAATAGATTCCAGAGAACTGCACAGATCTCAGGGGAATCACTGGATTCTTTGGACTGAACCTGCTGTTACTTCTCTGGAGAGAGGGCAAACAATGTGTCTCTCTCATCCCTTACATATTATAAGGAGAAAATTTCTGCAGTTGGAAATTCCTAGGGCCTGCTTCTCTATTGCCCTGTGCCTTATCTAGTAGTTTACCTCAAGGTCAAAAACGTATACAATGCTACCAAATCAAAATGGTAGTATTTTTTGCAGAGATAAAGTGGGTGAAGTAATATAGTTTATTGGACCAACTTATTTTTGCACTCCTTTTGATGTAAATGGTTACATAAGGTGCAGTGCAAAAGAGAACCTCCAAGAGAGGAATTTCCAGTCTCCTGTGGTGCATGGGAATAACACAGGTAGGGGAGCCTCAGGCTCTCATTATTTAAAAAGCTTTGT